TATATATATATATATATATATATATATATATATATATATATATATATATATATATATATATATATATATATATATATATATATATATATATTATAGTCGCTGGATATAAAATTAAAATATTGGAAGAGGTAACAGATCGCATATTGTTATTTGGGAATATGTTGTTGACTTACTTATCTTAATAACTTCAATGATTTTAGAGTCACTTCCAGCGGCATTTTGGGCTATGCATCGATACTTCATGATAGCTCTTGCCTGACTGTTCAGTCGTAAGGAATATGAGTCAATTTTCAATTTTGCACTTTCTTCATCACAGCTGGCGCTGTCACACGAAAACCACGTATACTTCACTTGCGGTGGGTTGACTTCATCAGCATTCTTCAATGAGCAGTTAATTATCATCCCTTTCTCAGTAAAGAGATACGTTTTTGCCAACTGTATCTCGGGTTTTACTGTCAAAAATAAACGAATAATTGTAGGTGTCTCTAGCTATATATACTGTATATAATTGTGAGTTAAACCATCATTTCAAAATTTTACTCGCATCTGCATTATCTGTTGTGAAATTGATGGCTCAGAAAACAATAACTTGTACCGATATAGGTCAGCAAATAAATGAAAGTGTTGTTTGTTCTAGTTGTTTTATGATTCGAGCACGCAATGACAATGAATCATTATATAATACAAGCCCATCTCAAAAATGAGGTTTCGATGGCGAAGTGGTTAGCGTACTTGCCTTTCACGTCTAAGGTCGTAGGTTCAAATCTCAATGAGAACTTTCTCAATGCGACTCGAACCCAGTCCTCATGCGAAAAAAGCAAAAAAGTCCACGCTCTGCCGAACGTCGTGTGTTTTCTCCCACAGGGAAAGTTGACAGGGTGGGTTAGGTAAAAGGGCCCACAGTAAGTGGCATATGCTGTTGTGGTGACCCAGCCCTACTTGGCAAAGCTACATAGGTAAATTGGTCTCTCTTAAGGCCGTTTTCATCAACGTTCGCTGTGCCCGCGCGGGCGAAGCGTTCATTGTTTTTGATGCCCGTCACGCCCGTGTGAGCAGATTTTCAAAGCCCGCTCCGCCCGCGCGGGCAAAGCGACTGCAATGACCGGCCTTAAGAAATTAATTTTGCGCGTTGAACAGAGCATGCCACGTGCTATCCAACAGATTCTCACTGTCTTTTTCAGTTTCAATTGACTCTCACATAAGTTCTCTCGAAAAATTGTAAAACAGTAGTTTCTAACATGAGGTTAATTAAAAGGCCTACCTTTAACACTTATATTGATAAATCGAGAGTTGTAATAATTAACTTCGGGACGAGTTACTTCACACTTGTAGCTCCCCGAGTCTTTCGCGGACAATGAATTCAGCGTCAGAGTTAGGATTCCAGGTCCATTGAGTGCAGATTTCAGTTTTATCGGATATCCTTGCGAATCAAATTTGTACCAAATAATTTCATACAAATTGGTATTTTTTTCTGCTTCGCATGAGATGTTAACAGTGCTTCCAATATCGTAGTATGCTTCATTTGGCTTCTTCTGAATTTTACCTTTCATATAAGCTTTTCCTAAATAAGAATAACGTGAACAACACAATTGCTAAATGCTAGAGCTTGCAACAAAATCCTATTTCAACGCATGCTATAGAATGTAAACGCATGTATGCATGTTGTCGGGCACTTGCTTACATTTTCGAAGGACGCGCGCTTATACAGGTTTAATTATAGGGGCTGTTTATACATGAGCCCGGTTTGCTGGGCTGGCCCGCTTAAACTGGGCGCCCGGCTTCATAGTAATTTCCAACACAAAACAATTTTACTTTACATCAGTGACAACCGGGCCAGCCCGTTTGGCTGCATGGGATCCCACTTGACTCAAACGGTGCGCCCGGTCAGCCGGGCTGAAATTTCTTCATGTAAAGTATCCAGCCCGGCCAACCGGGCTAGAAGAAAAACTTAATTTAAAACAAAAATAAATGACAGAAACTGATATTTTTCTTGATAAAGTTTTATTTCATCAATTAATCTTGCCGACAAACTAGTTTTAATCGATTAAATTTGCCAATAAAGCACAAATTCGACTTCCCTGACAGACGTTACACTGTTAACTCGTAAACAAGTTTTTCCTGCCAAGGAAAAGCTTTTTTTTACAAGTTTTACCTTCTTTCAGTACAATGAGTTGATGTCTTGTCACCTCCCCGTGAATAATACCGCTAGAGTTCCAAGTAATGATTGAACATATGTAATGCCCGCTATCGTCATATACCAAGCGTGTTATATTAAAGACATTCTTGGAAACCAATTTTATCTTTTCATTGTCAACATGAAGGTCGGATATGTTGGTGGTTCCATTGGGTTTAAACCATAGACTTGTTCTAGCCCAATCGAAAACGTCACAATTGATTAACATCCACTCTCCACATAAGCGATAGATGGAAGGATCATAATACTTAACCCCATCTGTATAGTAAAAGAAGCAATTATATTTGGCATATTTGCACTATATATATATACATATATATATACATATATATATATATATATATATATATATATATATATATATATATATATATATATATATATATATATATATATATATATATATATATATATATATATATATATATATATATATATACCCGGTGTCCCAAAAAAAAGTACTCCGGTTTGATTTATAATAACTTCTAAACAAGTAAAGCTATCAGACATAAATAACTTGCATTAAATAGAGGAAGGACTAACTTAGATTTTGATATGTTACAGTTGTATTTTACTTAAAAATTCACGGAGATATTAATGTTCAAAATCGGGAGCATATTTTGGGATGTGTCTAAAATTAGCAAAAATCGGCATATCAAATATTAACTCCAGCGAAATATGAACGTTCGAAATTATGCAAGTATTTAATAGGTCTTTGCAAACTTAAAGGTACACGAAAGACCATGCAAGGCAGGCGCTTAAATTTTTCTTAAATAGCCTAATTTTTTTATGTTTTTCATGGGTTCAAAGCAAAGTTGATTATTTCTCGGTCAGAGCAGGACGAATATTATTCTTTAATGAAGGAAATAATATTGCTTTTTGCAAATACACGTCACAGTATCAACGCTAGCGCTATATTTCGTTACGTTTTGTTAAAAAAGTGTTGGATGTCTTTGGGGAGTTGATTGTTATGTCTTTACTTATGGAGTTGTTTGCATGGTTTGATTGTGTTTCATTCTCAGTTTATTCTGAACTTGCCAAGATTAAGAAAGGCAAAAGAGTTTGGGTGCTCTTAACAAGATTTCAGAACGTTGCAGAAGTTATAAAGTTCATTTAATGTGAAGTTAGAAAATTTACAATTCCATTGTGACAGCATACCCTATAAATTCAGAACTACGAACAATACATGACGATCCTTCACAATGCAGTGGTCTCATGAAATAAGGAAACGTATTCGTGCTAGGAACACACGCGGATTTGGGACGAATAAATCTTGCTTGTATTTTGTAGATAATAATACTTTGTTTCATAATAAACAATTTGTCAAGTGTCATTTATTTACTGGTAATAGTGCATGTTTCAGTCGGGCAAATCTTGATTAATATTTGATACGCCGTTTTTTTGCATATTTCTGACACATCCAGAAATGTGATCCCGATTTTAAACATTAATATCTCCGTGAATTTGTAAGTGAAATACAACTGTAATATATCAAAATCTAAGTTAGTCTTTCCTCTATTTGACGCAAGTTATTTCTCTTTAAAAGCTTTACTTGTTTAGAAGTTATTACGAATCAAATCGGAGTACTTTTTTTTGGGACACCCGGTATATATATATATATATATATATATATATATATATATATATATATATATATATATATATATATATATATATATATATATATATAAATATATATATATATATATATATAAATTATATACAAATTTTGAATCATAGCAATCGCTAAAAGTAGGCTAGTGATCGTTAAAATTTCATGATTATAAAAAATAGTCATGTGTTATAGTTTTCATTCATATATACCTTCTTTAATAGGTGATTTCTTGGCGACGGCAACAACTCCTGGGACGCCTACATACATGCAGACAAGGAAATTAAGTAATCAGAGATGAAAATTTTGAAATTTTGCGTGCTAACAATCCTTAGAAATATTGGCAAAGTTTTCATGCGAATTCATGAAAAAACTTATAAGTATAGCGGGCCTAAACTTTGGAATAATTTTCCTGTGGAAACAGTATACTGCATGGCGCAATCATTGCATGATGAGTGTAACTTTCTTACCTCGCAATTTTTTACGCATATTCAATGCTTTCGATTTTCCCGTTACTAGGAATAAAACAACTGCGAAGGTAATTGCATATTTGACAAAGCTCATCGTGTCTGAACGCTCTTCCTAAATGTCAAAATATAAAAAAGAAATTTAGTCTTGAAGTAGCTTCTTTTTCTGGTTAATATTGTATAGGCCAGGAAACTGTTATATACTCCATGCCGAACACCTGTCGAAAATGCAGAAAATTAATGCAGCCATGCATTATATTAAGACATTCAAAACTTCAAAAATGCTTTAAGGGAATATGCCCTTCAACCTCCCCCCCCCCCATTCCTCCTCAATATAAAATTTCTTATACTGTATATTTACTTTACAGTTGACTTCGACATTGTAAGAAGTCATGTTGAACATTTTCTTTTAATATATTACTAAATATATTAATATATTACTAAATATATTACGGTATTTTGTCAACAAGGAAAAGAAGTCAAAAATTTGGAAATGAATTTTTAAAGAAATGTGAGATACAAAGGTTCAGTTATTTTAACCCAAAACACCTGTTGAAAATGCAGGAAAATAATAGGAAATGCAGCCCAAGGATGGCATTTATAAAACATCAAACATTTTCTAGGGGAAGATACCCTTACCCCTCATATGTCGAACATTTTCTCTTTATACTACATGCGTGAATATTAAACAATATTAAAAGATTCGCAAACAAGGAGTATAAATATATGTGTAAATATATTCTGTTATTTATTCAACAGGGAACATGCACAAGCCAAATGTGAAAGGACATGAGAACATGCACTGTTTAAACTGAGAATATTTGTGGATTTTTTAAGAAAATGGGGAAATTTAATTGAGGGGGGGGGATTTAGGGAAATGTTAAGGAAATAAGGATTAATTTTGATCCATTATTTGAAAATAGTGAAAGAATATACATGCAAAAGTTCATGCAGTGAATATAGATGATATATTTATACCAAAGAACACCTATCAAAGCTTCAAAAATTTGCTAGGGAAAGATATTTTAATTCCCCCGCCCCAATATAAAATATTTTCTTATTTCTTTTACAGTTCGTGCTGGTGCTTCTCGGAAGATAGGTCTGTAACTATAGCAAATAACATGCACAACAAAAACTCAGCAGGTGTTTAACGTAATGAACATATATACCTATGCACGAATATATAGTTTCTTGATCACGGCCTGTATAGAGTTTAGTTGTATGCCATTTGAAAGATACCACGTATAACTACGCGTTATCATGCAGGCATTACCCTTTCTTTAAAAAATTATTTAAAACATGCAGAACTCCGAGTTCCTTTAAAGTTCTTTAAGTTCCTTATAAGAAATATGCGCAACTTTGCATGTTAACACCCTAATAAACATTTTTTGGTATAGTAATTTCCAACATTATACAGGTCACTACAAGCAGAAACCCTTTCCAAACTTACAGACAGATGCCAACAGTCAGAATATTTTTTAAAGGACGTATCGAAAATTCAATATATATACCAAAACTCTGTTTTATAGAGCGCAAATTTCGTATATACATGCAGTAAATAGCGCATATACTTGGCTGGCAAACGGTCTTTGTTTGAAACGTCGCGGAATCCTGTATGGCCTATATATAGCTATAAATAAATCTGCTGAGGCTAAACATACTTGGACTTACGACCATGCAGACCATCGTATATATAAAATGGGACGAAACAACCATTTTGGCGATTTATATATAGTCATAAGTTCTCTCGCAAAATGAAGGAGCCAATTGAAATCGAGAAGCATAGTACTATTATACAGGGTGTATAAAAAAAAGGAGACCTTTAGAAATCAAGCATATTGTTAAATTTGAATGCCTTTTCAGTTGCACATATGCTGAACCGTAGTGCGTGAATATTAGAAAAAGGAGACCTTTAAAAATTGAAATAACGTTTAAACAAAAGATTGTCTGCTCCTGGGAACAATCTGTCATGCATACTGTACGTAGATCGCATGTTACGCACTCGTGGGCTTAGCAAAGTGCTCAAGGATTCAAATTATAACCATGGTTGATTTCTAAAGGTCTCCTTTTTCTAATATATGCACTCCATCAATATTCCACGCACCACGGTTCAGCATATGTGCAATTGAAAAGGCATTCAAATTTTAACAATATGCTTGATTTCTAAAGGTCTCCTTTTTTTTTATACACCCTGTAGATCAGGAGGGAAAGCCATGCATGCACTATAGTTTTCCACTAGCGAATTTCTTCGCGCGAAGCGAATTTTTATTGTTAAAATTGAAAAGAATTTATTAAAGATCTAATTACTAGTTCCAGCCGAAAGATTATAAGACAAAAGATTAATTCGCGCGAAAAAAATCGCTAGTGGAAAACCGGCTTTATGTGCAAAATTAATTTCTCTTGTCTTGCATGGATGCACGTTTAATTAAATTTCATTGTTGAATCAACTTTCGAATTATGCCGAACTTAATTGTCGAACTTATAATGTGTACTATATATATATATATATATAGACCTTGGTAGATTTTTTTCGTTATATTCAGTTAACCGAGACATCGCTATTTAGAAGAATTCTATTAAAACTGCTTTATCAGTATAGATCTTTCTATAGATTGTACATATTTTACGAAAACGCATATCCCGAAATTAAAATCCGAATGGTCAAACCTGAACCGACTTCATGATGTAGGCCTAAGTTGAAACAATTTTTAGGTTTTGTGCAAGATTCCTATAAAGATTTGCCAGGGTCAAAATCGGTAACACGCCTGTGACACTACCCCTTTAATATATCTTCGAATTCATAAGTGTCTATATCAAACCTGCTTGCGCTAGACTGTATATAGCGCGGTAATAGCCTATTATGATTTTGGTGTTTAAATTCTGCAATAATTATCACTAAAATATCTTGAAAATACTTTTAAGTCTAGCTTTTCATATAAAGCGTATTAAAGCTATACAGTATAGCTACATTGATACTGAACCGTAAAACTAAAATTTGGAAACAATTGAACTTCGTGACCATGTATGTGACATAAAATTATATATAGCCTACTATATATAGTTATATTTGAGATGGTCACGTAATTTTGAAAACGTGCATGCACGCATGTGTTATGGATGCATCTGTGATAACAAAAACGTAGGCCTACGTGCCCTGCTATATTATAGTTTATATAAAATCTCCTTGAAATTTATTATTATTATAAATTAAATATACTGCTTCACAATCCTATATATATATATATTGAATATTGCAGTATTATATTTATACAGGCAATTTTTACTAAAATTTAAGTTACAAATACAAGATTGAAGAAATAACGTTCCGTGATATTCACAAAATTATAAAATTCAAGGAATCATTCGGCATTATTGTCATTGAAAATTCTAGTTGTTGATGAAATAAAACTCCTATAAAATATCAAGAGTGAGTTGGATGTCTTGGTGAGGTGGGACAAATTTAATTTTATGTTCTGGGTTGAGCACTGTAAGTTTTGAAATTAACATTCACACAGTTAGTCTCATTCATCGCGCAAAGTTGCATGGGACGAATATATTCGCAAAGCATCTGATAAGAAATGCTAGGAAAAATAATACGAAGTGCCTTTTTCTGATCGTGTTCTAGTGGTGATCGCAGATGAATCAGAAAAAGAAAAATGCCAGATACCTCATGATCATACTGCCCTGTTTGCAGGCAGAAAGGAAAAGTCTTAGCCCTGCTTTGTTTTACTCCGACCTGTGTGCTCCCTAAAAACCAATATACTGACCGAAAATTTCAAAAATATGAAAATCCGATCAGATTATAGCATCTTTCAAGGGGCTGTTCCTATGGAATTGGGCTGGCCTGATGGGATGATTCGTTTAATAAAGCTCTTACCACGGCTTTGATAAACATCCAAAATTACATTTCAAAGTTGAATTAGCCTAGCTTATAGATTGATTCCAGTAACAGTAGAAAGTTCATTCAAACGATATTTTATAAAAAATTAACAGCCCCCAAGATATATGAGTCAAAACAAGGCCAGATTCTATTGCAAATTACTTTGTTATTAGATAAATTTGCCAATAAAAGCATGAGATTAAACTATATAGCTACATAATGAAATGAGCATCAGTGGACAAAATTTAGAAAAAATTAATAAATTTTACATAAAATACCTTCCCAGCTAAGCCACAGACACAAACTAAATTAAAACTTCAAAAACAAAATGTCAACCGACTTGCGATAAATCTTCACTCCCCGTATTCACGCTTCACTGCTTCAGTGTCAAAAAAACAAAAGACTATATGGCTGATATTCAGTAAAATTTTGCGACAATCCAAGCGGCTGAACAATTTCCTTTGACGTCTTGGGTGTTGTTGCATGACTAAAGTGACACTTATAATTGCCTTGTCAATTAACATAAACTCATCTAGAATAAACATGTAATAGCTATGTAGCTAGCGTTATATATTTTATTTAATATTGGAGAAAACGGTTCAGACCATTGCATGCAGAACTATATATTGCCAAGCAAATGTATACAAAGGCAATAGTCAATACATACAGTTGAAAATAATAACCTTCTAACCTTCTGCCTGTTTGATGTCGGCGTTCGATTAGTTGCAGTAGTTTAGTAGAGGGCATATATGTTCTATACGCGTGACTTATACTAGGCCTACTTAATATTTGCCGACATGGTCGACGTCTACTCATTCTTGCAGTATAGCATTAATTAAAGACTATAGGTAGAAGCTGTATACATGTGTCTAACGTCAGAAATTTTTCTGACATTAAATGATTGCCCATTACGTGTTTGAACTGTTGTTTTGGTTGGTTGCAGTTTTAATTTTTTCTTTTATAAAAAATCCTGTTTAACGTAAATTAATGTGAATAATTAATATCCACCCCATGCATGCAGTCATATTATATAGAATGTTCTTTTTGAAAGATATCACATCAAAGAAATTCATGCAGACATCACCCTCTCTGTCGAAAATTTTATTAAAAACATGTATAGAACTCTCTTCACATGTATAGTT